CAGGCTCAAGACAGTCTTTGCCTTGGTTTGTTATGTGACTGGGGGAGCTGGCTGGAAACAGTTCTTGGCACGCTTTTGGTTAAGTCTAAAGAAGCTCTCTCCTGGTTCTCTCTGGCTGGTCTTTATTTTGGTCTTGGGTTTTGCCCCCTTCTCTGACATCCAGAAGGCACGAGGCCGAGGTTTTCTTCTGGGCTAGGGTGGGAAAGGGGTGAGCGGACACTCTGTTCTGCGTAGTTCTTCCCCTGTTTCCAAGAGCTGTGAGTGGCCATGCTCTTGTCGCAGCCCAGAGGAACCCTCTCCCCCCAGGGAGCAGCGTTGAGTCAGGTGCTGCCGAGAGCTGACATGTGTGGCCCTTCCCTCCAGCCACGGCAGTCTTTCTTCCCAGGGGAAATGTCGTCTGGGGATTGCCCTTCTCACTTCACTTGGCCGTCTGCATCCTTTTGAGTGACCTGTCCAGTCACGCTCCCTCTCGTCCCCACTGTCCCTCCCCCACGCAGTGTTTTGAAGCCACGTTAATTTCCCCCCACAGCGCTACACTCCCGTAGCTTTCTTCTCGGCTGTGGTGCCTGCCTGCCCGTCCTTCACGCCGTGGGCATTCCCAGGGTGTCCGGCACGGGCAGGCAGGCTCCTTCAAGCCGTTGGCCCAACAGAGCTCGGTTTGCGAATCCTGCAGCGGCCGTAGCTGATCGAGGCCCTGGCAAGGCAGAGCCTGTCCTCTTTGCTCCCTCGGCCCCGTGAATGTGCCTGGCAGGCGCCGCTCCCTCCAGGACCTGGTAGCTGTCTTTGCCCCCCCCCCCCCCCGGGTGTCTGTCTGAGGCCTGCTAGACTCCGTGAGGTTTACTTTTCCCCTTTTCTAGTCTTCAGGAAAGCTGGAAGGAGGTGCCAACGAACTGAGATGCTGCATTTCCCCATGACATCTTCTCCCTCACCTCCCTGTTGTGGTGTTAGATTTGTAAAAAAACCGTGGCAGGCAGAACAACCCTCTTCAGCTCCTCCCCCCGGGGTGGCTTTCGG